TTTTTTTTTAAGCAAAAAAGGTGAACAGAACAAAAAAGACAGTAAGGTTCCGGGATGGTGGCACACATAGTCTGTCATTAAAATGCAGTATTAGCTTATTGAGATCTGGTTTGAGTTTTTTTGATGTAGAGAGCTTCTTTGAGTTTGAGAGAGAACTGAGATTGTGCATGGTCTAGTACGCGGAAGCAGGATTCAGTGTATGCAGCTTTGCATTGTGGTGAATTGTGGAGATGTTTGTATACGTGCGAGTTCTTATCAGAGGTGGTGTGTTCCTTAATGTGTGTAATTAAATGACGAGTGGTTTCGCCAACATAACGGGCATTACATCCCGCACATGAAAATTCATATACTATGTATGATTGAAGGGTGGAAGGAATAGGGTCTTTAAAACAGAATAGGTTTTTGATTTTAAAAGAAGAATAAATGATTTTAGAAGTTGATATCAGTGCAGAAGCGTTTAATCAGGTTGTGTAGTTTCCACAACGAAACTGATGCATTAATATTTTTCAACTACCTAAACCGACAACATAAAAACATTAAGTTAACTATTGAGAAAGAACAGGACAACAAACTGCCTTTCTTAGACATACTCATCACCAAAGATGCGACTTCAAACACTTGGACGACTTCTATTTTTCGCAAAAAACCTACCCCGGGCTACTGTTGAATTTCTTAAGCTTCACTTCACTTAACTACAAGACGGGACTAATAAAAACGCTTATTGACCGTACACGCAAAATCAACAACGCATCTATTGGCTACCAATGTGACATTGACACATTAATTGACACACTCAAACGCAACTCCTCTCCTTCCCATTTTATCGACAATGTCATCAAACAATACAATGGCAAAACCGACCTACACACAACTATTAACTCTACTGATCAACCCAATCCAAGGCTACTAACGATGCGAACACCTACTATTTCAAACTGCCATACATCGGCTATCACTCACAGATCACACAACCTGATTAAACGCTTCTGCACTGATATCAACTTCAAAATAATTTATTCTTCTTTTAAAATAAAAAACCTATTCTGTTTTAAAGACCTTATTCCTTCCACCCTTTAATCATACATAGTTTATGATGAATTTTCATGTGCGGGATGTAATGCCCGTTATGTTAGCGAAACCACTTGGTATTTAATTACACGCATTAAGGAACACACCACCTCTGATAAGAACCCGCACGTATACAAGCATCTCCACAATTCACCACAATGCAAAGCTGCATACATTGAATCCTGCTTCCGCAAACTAGACCATACACAATCTCAGTTCTCTCTCAAACTCAAAGAAGCTCTCTACATCAAAAAACTCTAACCAGATCTCAATAAGCAAATACAGCATTTTAATACCATTTTCCACTTGTAAATATACTTGACCCTATTTTGTAAATATAAAAACCCACTTTTGTAAATAATAATTGACACATGTGTAATGTTTTAATTAACATATTAGCAAAAACTTAATATTCAAATAAACCCGCAAAGGACTGCTGGGTATATAAACTCTTGTAAATAATATTCGATATCCTTTTCTTGTATATCTGTGGCTAGGATTTACTTTTAATAAACATTCTTATATAAGAAGAATCTCACAAATGGCAACGAAGATGGGATCTAAATTCTAGCACAGTTCAGTTTAAGATTTAACAGTTATTTGCCAGAAAAATCTGTGCAATGACGATGTTGGTAAACCTACCGAATTTTCCCGAGTTTGAATTGCAACCGAAAGAAACTGCACCTACACGTTTTGAGAAGTACATCAAGGGGTTAAAGAACATGTTCAGGCTATGAATATCACCAAGATTTGCAGCAGAAAGCCATGTTGTTGCATTATGTGGGAGAGGAAACCTGTGACATTGTCGAAACGTTGAACATCCCAGAGCCAACCGGCGAAGAAAGTGTCTTTGAGGTTTGTGTTAAAGTGATTTCAGATCCTTTTGAACCGCAAAAGTGCATCAGGTGAGAGCATTACTGAATTTTATACTCGTCTACAGTTGCTTGCGCGAAAGTGTGAATTTTTCGACGCGAACATTGAAATAAAACACCAAATCATCCAAGGTACTTCATCACTTAGGCTGAGGAGAAAAGCAATTGAACAAAGTCTTACTCTAGAGAATTTGCTTAAAACCGCTCGAGCTATGGAAACTGCAAACGAACAAACCAGTGAAATTGATAGACAACACTCAAATGTGGTAGGGAGGTCTAAGAAAGAGTTCCCTTCAAAAAAAGAAAGGTTTTCATAAGCCAAAATCATGTGGATTGTGTGGTGGTATTTACCCACATTGTGCAAAATGCCCTGCACAAGGCAAGATTTATCATAAGTGTGGCAAAAAGAATCACTTTTCAAAAGTTTGTCGCAGTAAATATAACTGTCTGAAACCACCTACAAATAAAGAGCATGCCGAATCATTGACCTCAGAAAGTCGTCAAAAGGAAGTGAGTGGTCTTGGAAAGTTTGACAGCGATAATAGTGAAGAATATACATTTACTATCAGTGAACAGTCAAGTTATCTAGTTGAGCCTATGTTTGAAGTACAAATTGGGAACACACCGATTAGTATAATAGCCGACTCGGGGGCAACAGTAAACATAATGAGTGAGCCAGATTTTAACTGTTTAAAACCAAAACCCCAACTCAGGGATACGAAAACCAGAGTATACCCGTATATGAGCGAAAAGCCATTAGACCTGTACGGTCGGTTTGAAGCGAGGGTCTCTATTAATTCTTTGTTCATCATATGAAGTGTTTTACGTAGCAAAGGGTCCTTCAAGTTCAATTTTAAGCTGGTCAGCTTCTCAAAAGCTGAATCTCATTAAAGCTGTTAATGTTGTTGACCAACCAGATCTAAGTTTTCCACCAAATGCTCCTGAGTTCATCAAAGAGTTTCCACGCCTTACCAGTGGGATGGGTAGTTATCAAGGCAAACCTGTACGTATTCATGGTGACGAATCTATCAAACCCGTAGCAGCACCGCATCGCCGAATCCCGTTTCATGTCCGGAAACAAGTAGAACAGAAGCTGGAGCAACTAGAGAAAGAAGGCATTGTGGAACGTGCCGAAGGCCCCACCTCATGGGTCTCACCGATAGTAGTGGTACCGAAACCCTATAAACCCAATGAAATTAGAATTTGTGTTGACATGCGTGCGCTAAATAAAGCCATCATCCGAGAAAGGCATGTTATTCCAACTAATGATGATGTTGTACATGATCTGAATGGCTGTAAAGTATTCAGTAAAATCGATTTGAATCAAGGCTACCCATCAGATTCCTCTTCACCTCGATTCTAGACCATTGACCACATTTTCCACGCATATAGGATTGTTTAGGTACAAGCGTCTAAATTTTGGAATCTCCTGCGCAGCCGACATATTCCAGAAGAAGGTTAGTGATGCAATCTGTGGTATACCGTGTGAGAAGAACATCACTGATGACATTTACTTACGTTGGTGGCATCGATATTGAAGACCATGATCAACATCTAAAGCAGTTGTTTCGGAAACTTCAGGACAGTGGGTTGACCATTAATCTACCAAAGTGTCAGTTCCACGTTCCCACTATGCTCTTCTTTGGTTATGTGTTTTCAGAGAAGGGGATGTCACCTAAGAAAGTCGAGGCTCTCCAGCTTGTTGCTCCTCCAACAAATGCGTCAGAAGTGCGCAGTTTGCTCAGTTCTGCGGTGTTCTGCTCAAGATTCATCAAAGACTTCGCTGTGATTACGAGACCTCTTCGTCAGCTCACATGTTCGAGAATAAAGTGGCGGTGGACAGGAAAGGAACAGTCATTGTTTGAGTCCTTGAAAGCAGCGTTGTCCGAAAAGACTACCCTTGGATACTTTGATCCTGAGAAATCTCTGTCTATATTTGTTGATGGTAGTCCGATTGGTCTTGGTGCCGTCCTGACCAAGGAAGACTCATCATCGCCAAGAGAAGTTTCCCATTGTACTATGCAAGTTGTCCAAGATATCCCCAAATTGATCGTGAAGCCTTGGCAATCTATTGGGCGGTTAAGCGATTTCATTTGTTTGTTTATGGGACAGACTTCATAGTCTTCACCGACCACAAGCCACTCATATCGTTGTTCAATAATCCATCATCCAAGCCATCGTACCGAATCGAGCGTTGGCTGTTGGATTTGCAGCAGTATCGTTTCACAGTAGAGTATCGTCCTGGTGCTGAGAATCCCGCTGATGATTATGCTTCAAGGTACCCCATTTGGGGATCCAGAATCTCGTAAGTACGAAGATGAAGTTGAAGAGCATATTGCCTATGTGGCAAAGAATGCTGTGTTAAAAGCAGTGACGTTATCCGAAATAGAGTCAGCAGTTGCAGGCGATCCAACGCTTCAAGCTGTTATGGTGGCAGTTAGGTCGTGTTCTTGGCATAAAACTTCATCGAACATATCCTTATCAGAGCTTTCCCGCTACGAAAAGATCAAAGAACAAGGCAGATCGTATTGTGGTACCGGCAGCTCTGCAGAAATGGATTGTAGATATTGCTCACGAAGGACATCTTGAGATAGTGAAGCCAAAAGCTCTGTTGCGAGAGAAAGTGTGGTTTCCATGCATGGACAAAATGGTGGAAACGAAGATAAAAGCTTGTTTACCATGTCAGGTTGTAACACCCATATACGCCAGGGTCGGCGTTAGATCATATCGAACTAACGTACATGACGTCATAAATTTTGCAATAACGGAAGTATAATAACAGAAGTCTTACATGAAGTCTTTCTAGAGCTGGTTCATAAAAATGATAAAATAAAAATGGCCATGAATGATGATACATTTATACATTTATAAATGTACACGAAAGTGTAAATGTCTGTTACCCTCATACCCAGTATAGGAGTGATCATATACTTATGTAATAGTATCTCTGGCTTTACCTTAATTACGGTTAGGGTTAGGGTTATTGAAAATTTTATGACGTCGTGTACGTGTTAGTTCTATGTGATCTAACGCCGACCCTACGCCAGGGAGCCGTTAAAAATGTCTGTATTGCCTGACAACCTGTTTGACCAAGTAAGCGTAGACTTTGCCTCGATAAGTGGAGAAACCGTTTTATTACTGATTGACAACTACTCAAAGTTTCCGTTTGTTGAACCTGTGTCATCAACTGCTGCAAGTGCTGTAATACCCAAGCTGGACCAGATATTTGCAACATTTGGAACACCCCTGTTGTACAAACAGATAACGGACCGCCATTTAATGGTAACGAGTTTGCCAAGTTTGCTCAGGCTCTTGGTTTTAAGCATCGTAAAGTGACCCTGTTGTGGCCTCGAGCCAATGGTGAGGTAGAAAAGTTTGTTAAAACCATAAAGAAATATGTTAAAGCCACTAAGACAGAAGGAAAGAATGGGAGAAAAGAGTTGCAAGCATTTCTACGCAGTTATAGAACAGCTCCACATGCAACCACTGGTGTGGCTCCTAGTGTAATGTTGATGAGGCGTTTTGTCCGCAGCAAAATTCCACAAATTGACAGAGCTGACCCAGTATCAGAAATTATTCGTAAGCGTGATTCATTCCAGAAAGAGAAGATGAAGTTGTATACTGATAATAAGTGTTATGTGAAGCCAAGTAATATCTTCGTTGGTGATTCAGTATTAGTAAAACGGCCTTTTCCCATGAATAAAGGAGCCAGTGTTTACGATCCCAATCCAATGACAGTGGTTGGAGCGAAAGGTAACATGATCACTGCTAAAAACTCGGATACCACTGTCACAAGAAATTCGTCATTCTTCAAGAAGTTACCTTCAGACGTATCAAGCGATCACCAGGAGGATGATTCATTCTTTATTCCACCAGTCCAAGAATATCCCGAACAGACCCGAAATGAAACTCCGTTAAAATCACCAAATAAAGATGTTATTCCACTCGAAAACCTTCCGGTGAAGGAACTTAATACTCCATCTACAGCTCCTCCTGGCAATGAGAATACAAAACCACCGCAACCGGGAGAACCCAGTGAGATTCCTCTCAGTGATTCTGTTCCTGGACCACAACGTTGAGGAGATCAACGAGGATAAGAATCCTAAGGGAAATGTTTAACTTATAATAATTATAGAACTTAGAAAGAATTGAGATAAAATATGAATACTTATTAAATAATCTTATTATGGATTTTAAGTTAATTGCCATTGATAAAATGAAAAAAAAAGTAGTTGTTTAGCGATATTGGACTTACTTTAGGTTATGGACACTATAACTAGGAGGAAGGAGATGTAATGTTTTAATTAACATATTAGCAAAAACTTAATATTCAAATAAGCCCGCAAAGGACTGCTGGGTATATAAACTCTTGTAAATAATATTCAATATCCTTTTCTTGTATATCTGTGGCTAGGATTTACTTTTAATAAACATTCTTATATAAGAAGAATCTCACAACATGTATTTGTTATTGTAATCTAATATTTGTATCATATGTCACTTTATTGTATCACACATCCTGCTGTAAATATTCTTAGCTCACTTCGTACTGAAGATGGCTTAGTGTAAACCAAAACATTGTCGTTTACACCATAAACAATGATGACACTGTTTCTGATCTAGTAGACCCTTCCTAACGATTGACAAAATTGTAGAATCGTCTGCATATTTAAATAATGATGTACAGCAATTTTTGACCAAGCGCAGACCTCAAACGTTTTTTCACATGTCAAACATGACGTTTAAGAAATTGAACGGAAGTAACTAGGTGCAAAATTCCAACTGACAATGAGTGTAACTTTTGCCTTTTGATGGCCAATGACAGAAATATACATTTCCAGTTTCAACTTTCAAGGTTCACACTTAATAAATTCTAAATACTTGTAAAGATGGTGACAATGAGCTGCTACACTACATGTGAATGAATGTGAATAAATTTGGTCATTCATAAGATTTTTGTCAATATATTATTGGGCAAATAATTGCAGCTGGAGGCAATAGTTCTACAGGCTATATACCTGTGGGTGGATGTCAGCTGGCAGAAAAATTGACTATCTCTGCATCTACCCTAAACGAGATTTGGAAAGATTTTGCGACAAATTTTCTGTGTCTCCTTACCGAACTGGCGGACCTTTTACATAAAAAATTTATACGCAAGTTATAAATTTGCGGTTAATAAAGTAATATGTTCTAGAAGGTCCTATTTCATCCTACATATGGACCATCTCTGGTCTAGCTGTCATAGTTACCGCATGCACTAATTTTAGCCTGGGCAATGTCAAGGCCCCAATAGAACAAGGCAGTCTTTACCGGCCATGTTAATAGTTATAAAGTCCAAAATCGGACCGAACTTTTGCCTGCTCCCCATGCATGCATAGGTCATTCGCAAGACCTCAGCCAATGGGTCCACAACGCCGGTCAAATATTTAAAGGTCTTTTATCTAAAGGCAGCAATACTTATATCTGCATTTCAAAAGTAATTACAATAACCAAAAACTACAAAAATAAACCACACGCACCTCCCCACAGCGAAGGACCGCTGCAGTGGGCACCCGCATGCAAATATACTAATAGTTATGTTCATTGATATGCTATCTGTAAATAGTCTATCAATATTCTTCTTGTAACTTGTAATGAATTGCAGTCCTTCTGGACAACACCTCACCATGTAAAGTGCATTTGTACAGGTCATTTCGGTCGAAAACGCAACCTGATGACCTGACCCAGAGACTTGATGGGTCAGTCAGACAATATTTCAGTCGAACTGACTGACCTGAACAGGGGTCCGCCTGTTCTCCTGTTATCTAGAGGTCCACCTGTTCCTCTAGAAAAACCTATAGTTTTTGCATGCTCTGTCAGGTTTTGAGTGCCCTTACTGTCTCAGTATAACTAATGGTGGTCCTTAGATCATCAGGTCTCAACTCACTGAACAACATGCACAGAGCTGGCTCACACCATCTGCAACTTAGAGGTCCTCCTGTTCCTCAAGGAAAAACTTAGGTTAATTCGAGCCTCTAGACCTTTTTTTCAAGCTTCCTGCCGAAATTATATGCCACAAAAATGTCTCATTGTGTTGTTGCTTTGCTAAGTTGCCAGACGTTCAAAATCCTTATAAAGAATCTCAACATATAAACTACATTAAATCAAAATTAACCAACAATGATTTAGAATTAATTAAAGTTCTAAAGAATGAAAAGCTGTCAATACCACGTTGATTTCTGCAATAAGCAGGGGTATCAAAAACTGAATGCCATCTGGTCGTCAATACTCTCGAAAGAAACTGATGAAGTTAGCTTGCAAACGGTTCACATATGACAATACGTTGTATACTCAACTTTTTATAGATTATCTGAGAGCTAAAAGTCCACTGAAAAAGTCCACAGTAATGTACACAATACAAAAAGGTGTGATGAGGGAATATTTGAAGATGTGGACCTTTTAACCTTCTCAATGAATCCTCGTTGTAGCTGTTCATTGATGAGTTAGCTTAGGTTTTCAACATCTTGGGATCTTTGGCTAATCTCCATACAGTGGAGCGGGTTCTTCCTTATGCTACTGCTTTTTGAACAAACCTTTTCTTCGTGTTTTGTTGTTTCATTTGATTTTCGTGTTGTATCTTGCCAGAATTACCTGTAGTCTTCCAACATTGGTTTCATTCATCCCCTTTTTCATGAGGTCTTGGGCTTATTTCCAAATCTTTGCTGCTTGTGCACATTGAGCGCTACATTTGACTTTGCACGCTACGTTTTGACTTTGCGCATTTTAGATCATCTATCATTTTAGGTCATCTATCCTGGTCACAGCACCAATTGCCTGTCTTTAAAATTTGGTGCACATTTTCCATGGCTGAAGCATATACTTGATCGACCTTAACCTGTGGCAACTTGACTTTCACATTCAATTATTTTTCCTTGAGATACAGTGAGCATACATTTGGGTTATCACTGTTAGTCATGAATATTTTCAAGGCAGTTATCATTCGGCATCCTAAAGTTGTCACACCCATAACCCCATCAAACTCTCACCCCTTTTAGACACATGCATTTATTGTACACCTTAGATAAAAAAAATGTAATTTAAAAGTGCATAAGTTATAGCTACTGAAATGAACGAACTTGATACTGAATACAGCATGTTTTTGCAATTGAATAATTGTTTTTAGGTTTTCTATGGAGCAGTTAGCCCAGACTGTAGCACCACCATACATCATGACTTGCTTAAACATGGTGTTGTAGTACAGTTTACGTTGGTCTAAAGGAAGAAATTGTTTAATTTTCCAGAGAACACCCAGTCGTTGCCTCAGTTTTACGGTGGCTCACAAAGGACAACACACAAAATATAAGAATAACATATACAAAATGTTATTACATACACACAAAATATATATCCATGCACACAAAGTATATAAACAAAAAGACGAAATATTTAAAACACACAAAATAAAAATGCACATACAAAATAAAAATTCACACAAAATAAAAATACACACTCAAAATAAGAATACGACGGAATTGCAGGCGCATGTTGACCTTCTCAATGACCTGAGTTTACCGTTATTTTTTTATACAGTATTTTACATGCTTACTTCACAACATAAATTCTCATGTATTGTCCGGCTTGTGGTAAAGAGTTTGTATCCTCTGAAACAGATACGTATTGTGGGAATTGTTTATCCGAAAAGGAAGGTTTAAATTTGATTGTGAATTACTTTAATCGTGGTTACCCATATGAGGCAATCGTTGGGTTACTTCGGTCTGCTGGAATCCACAGGTGTGTCAGAACACTAAAGCGCCGATTGAGATTGCTTGGGTTGAGATGCAAAGGGCATGCTATAGACGAGAACTATTTAAGAAGTATTGTTGCAGAAGAAATTCAAGGCCCCAGTCAATCTGGATATAGAAGCATTAGGCACACGCTTTGGCTTCGACACGTCAGTCGCCATGTTGTAGCAAAAATTGTAAAAGAAATTGACCTGGATGGTGTAGAAGAGCGAAAACGAAGGCAATTACACTGGAGACTTTATCAAAGCGCTGGAGCAAATGCGTGTTGGCATATCGATGGTAAGTTGCATAACAAAGCAAATTTACAAACATTTGAACAAGCTAAATGCAGTTGTGATTTTCCCGCCAGTATCATAGCCATTGTAGGCTAGTAGCCCAGAAATCTGACTCAGTCCTCGAGTACATTGTTTACGCACATGGTCACTGTACTTATTACTATAATATATATTGATATATATATATATGAAGAGTAAGCTAAATTTAATAAATATACTATTCATATTGAATAGCATACATATTAGCAATTAGTAAATAGTTCACCCCACTCACCAATAACAACCTAGGGAAAACATAATATATGGATAAAGCCGTCCATTTTTGTGGTATTTTACTCTGTCTAATGATGCCACGTGATAACTTTTGCAAAATTTAAACATTGCCTAATTAAACAATGTGGTTTTCAGGATATGATAAATTAAAGCCAATATGGCTTCTCTATTCATGGTGGTGTTTGTGGGTACAGCAGGCGGATACTGTGGCTTGAGGTTCTCCGTTCAAACAAGAACCCTCATGTCATTGCTGAGATATTTTTAAATGTTGTGAAAGAAGTAAATGGATGCCCTATGCGTGTCTGATCAGATTGTGGTACCAAGAATGTACACCTTGCTGGCATTCAATGTTACTTGAGAAGTGATGGTACCGATGAATGAGCAGGGGAGAAAGCACATATTTATGGCTCATTCACATAAAACCAACGAATGGAGGCTTGGTGGTCTTATCTTCGTGGTCTTGGTGGTCTTATGGTCCTATCATAACAGATCAGGCTGGTGAATAGATTTTTTTCAGGACATGGCTCAGCGTGGTATCTTGGAAATTGGCAATATAAAACATATGGAGGCCCTGTGGTATTCTTTCAACAAAGTGTTACAAGCAGATCTGCAAAAGGTAAAGGATCATTGGAACAGCCACTACATCAGGCGATCACAGCATGACACTGTTTCTGGAATCCCTGATATCCTGTACTTCCTCCCGGAATATTATGGTGGAACAAATTGCCTAATGCCTGTATGTGAAGTCAAGCTATCTGACGTGGGAGAGAGTATTAACCAAGATATTGGTGAGGACATGTATAAAGAGTATTTTGACTATGTTCTGGAAACCAAAGTTCTTGCCCCAGAGATAAGTGCATAGTTTATGGCAACCCAAAAGATGGTGAATTCAAAATACCATAGTCCATTTTCTCCTTGAAAAGTTCGTACTCAACATCACACTTACATTTGGAAAAAGCAGTAAGTACAGTATTGTATCGCAGGTATTTGCCTTGGGATGTGTACATCTCCACAAAACTTTAGTGTTGGCATTGGTGTGAAACCAAGGAGGGATTTTGTCACATCCAGTTGCAAAGGTAGGTAAGCACCTCATCCAATGTTGCACTAGAGCGTCTATCTAAACAAAAGAAAACAACATAATATGTGTTAATACTTATAATTTATAAAGCAAATGAAAAATTTAAAAGTAATTATTCATAATTTTGTGGTAGACCTCCCACCCCCCAATGGACTGCATCACAGGTTTTGGGGGCATTGCATTATTGGTCAATGCCCCTGGTGCAGTGCAGCGGTATCAGGTACAGTTACCACTATATATGCTAATCATGTAAATGATTACCTTCACAATCTTGCAGATAATCCCGCCAGTGCATTAATGCCAATTCTTGTTTATTGTAAGCATTACTTCCCTGTTCTACCATGACTGGGGTAAATAAGGCATTCATGTCAGCAGCTGATATTGCATTTAAATTCTAACAATAGGTGATTTTTATAGTTTTGTTTTTTGGCGACACATCATACTTTCTAATTAGTTCAAAAGCGCCTAAGTTTGCCTTCCACAGTCTCATTTTTTGATAATGAGTCTTTTAGCCGGTCAACCATGGTTTTCCTTTTCTGGCCAAGTTTCGACTGGCTAATACCGCTAAGGTTGGAGGTAGTTGTCGGCAGTATCCTGTGACTCTCGTCTTCTGGCGTGGCAGCTGTGCCTAAACTACACACACTTTCTACCTCCATTGATTGATTTTTTTCTTGCACATCCTTTATGAACTGCTTGTAAAATGAATTCAGCTAACTTACCACTTTTCAGTGACTCCAATTGTTTCTTAGTAAAAGCCCTCTGGCGAATGTTAATACAGCGTACGGGCTTTGTGGAACCATCCTTTTGCTTCATGTCTCTTTTATTAGACAATGAACACATTGTAGGTGTAAATTTACCTTATTTTGCAAAAACTTCACTTTTTGTTATAGGTGCGAACTCTTCACCATTAGGTAGGTTTTCCCAACGAATTGCAAATGGCTTCCTTGCTCCCAGCTTGGATGTACGGACAAATGTTGGGATCTAAAATATGCAAGTAACAAATTTTTTCTGTGAACTTAAGGTGGAAAAAATTGCCAACTTTATCACTAGTTACTTACCCAATTCTTCGCACAGTTTACATGATTCAACAATTGTTTTCACAATTATTTAAAAAATATTTGGTGTGACTTCAGATTTGCCATCAACGTCAACAATTTCCAATTTGTTTGCCTCTTCATGTGAATAGCACCAACTTTTATCTGCATGGGCATAATAATTCACACAAAAATTAGCAGTACTGTATTGTACCGCTCCCCCTGAAATATTTGAATCCACAGAAGGTAGGCAAATTTTTATTGAATCGTATCGAAATACGTACGCTCATGCTTACTAGACATATACACAGTTGCATTCAGAGTCCTGTGCATGTATGACTTACAGGTGTAATTAGCATGTATGACTTACAGGTGGTCATACACTGTAGACTATGAATGACCTATGACTTATTACTATTTATGTCTTTCTGTGCCTTGTTCACAATTTTCCGTTGGCTGGCAAAGTATTCCACAAACGCTTTCGCAACTAGTGCTGTTCCCATGGAAATCTTTTCCGGTACAACTAGGTCTTTGTCTTTGTTGTTTCTTCGTAGAAAAAAATTTGTTGCAGTGAAAAATACATGCATAACAGCGGACATTCTACGAATAAAAAATCGAGATTCCATATCACATGGTGAAGGAATACAATTTTTTTAATACAAGACTTTTGGTCGACCTAACCGAACAGTAACACAATGTAAGTGGCTTACATATACCTCAGAAAAATCTTTCTGTCTTTTGATTGATTGTCCTTCAATGTAATGGCATCATCCAATTGTTTGTTCATATTTTCCACTATAGCATCCGAAAAAGCCACGTATACATCTGCTGCTTCATCGTCAAAGCTGTATGCTCTTGGTGTTGTATGAGCATGATAAATTGCTTGATAAATTTCTGTGATTGTTAACAACAGGAAAATTAATATGGCAAATAAACCGATTATGTCAAGCTTACTTTACAACTCAAGATTCTGAAACTGTGACAGTTAACATCAGTTAAGATCTTTGATGCAAAATCTTCGTTTAGATATATGCTACAACTGTTCAGTTTACAAGTGGGAAAAGCTGAATAGGACAGACTGATGTGCGACTGATGTGTTCGGGTTGAGTGTTGATGGCACTACCCATTGCTCTTATCCAGGGCGCAATTGGTTCAGGAACAGCACTGCACGGAAACTTAACATTCCTTGCTTCCGGAATGATCTCTAATTTTAATTTCGGGCAGGGCTGGGACAACACTCCTCCCTCTTTGCTTGCCTTGTGCAAACATTTCTAAATAGTAGAATATAAAGATATAACTAGAAGTTACTTTCGCAAGTGATATGCTGCCGAATCGTACAAAACTACTGCAGCAAGAATTGAAACGGAACATTGTAACATGGTATAGCCCAACGAATGTTACGTCATGCATATCAGTGTGTTATATTATGCATGACGTAACATTCGTTGGGCTCCTTATGATTGTAAAGGGATTGCAGTCGCGAGCTGAGGGGATTGAACATTTACGTGAAATTTCATGGTCTTCACTCTTCATTCAATTGGATTATACTGTATAATCATGCACTACCGACGGGAAGTACATGGCACAGCGTGCGAGTTAAACTCACTGGTTATCAGTGAGTGCATGAATAACTGAAGAATCGATATTTAATTGGAGAATTGATATTTTATTTTTTTGTTGCGAAAGGTAAAACGGTTGAATCGTTTTGTGAAGTTTGTGTAGTTGTAGTTTATTTTTCTCAGACATTTTTGGGGAAAGGATGGAGTCCAAATGTACAGTACAACCAAAATTCACAAAGATCATGTTGGATACTTGGATACCTGTCTCGGTACAGAGCAAATGAAACGAATTACAACATAACACATTTTAATATTGTTTTTAAAGCTAGTAATGTCAACAATTAAAGTTATAAATTCTATTTAATATACACCCCCCCCCCATGTGGATGAGTTTTTCTTAGGGTTGGCTTAAAATAATGAATTTGTGAGGGTTGAGGCAAATGAAGACTGATTTTTCTTTGGGGAGGGAGCACTTAAAATAAGAGATTTCTGGGGGGTTTACATGCAAAGTAAAAAGGTTTGAAGAAATTTTGCCAAAATTTCTGAGAGTGTTCTTGAAAAGTATGACAATATTTCTTAAGGGTCTAAAATTTTTCAAAATACCTTGTCCACAGGTGTGGTGTACAGTAAATAGAATGGTCTACAGGTGTGGTGTACAGTAAATAGAATGGCCCTATAGTAAATACTGAATAAAAAAAATAACACCAACAAAGTGTATTAATATCTATATAGTATTTGAAATAGATTAAGAGAAGGTCAGCTATCATACTGTATATAGAATCACACTAATTTCAAACAAAACTATCAATAGGAATTATAATCCTTAACATGAGAGAAGCCCAACATGTGACTTCCAGTTCAAAACCTTAACTTTACTCTTCTAAAACTGAAATATCAGTGATAACATAACCAATATTGTCAAAGGTTATTTTAAACTTTTTTGTAACAGAATCTAGATAAGAATACATCTATTTCATAGGTAAACAGACATAAATAAAGATATACTGTTCGTTAACACATGTTCGTAAACCCTTGCGAATGTTGAAGAACTACAATACAGTACTTTATGTTGCACTACTGAAGTGTCTCTTAATAAGCTATTCTCTACCTCCCCCCAAGTCTTTAGTGATTGAGAGAGAGCGAAGTCATTAAATACTTAAAATAAAATAATATGAAGTCAGTGTTTATATTACAAGTTCAAATCACTACTCCTTGAGTCCTTTCGCATTGTGATCCAACAAACGTCTCAAAGCTAGTGGTAGCTTTTTAGGCGTAGGTGGCTTCTTGGGTTGAGGTAGGCTAGATGTTGTTTGTTTCTCCGGGATAGTGTGATTTGGTATTGGCGGGGAATTATGGGTTGCAACAGGAAGTGTTGGGGATGGGTATAGTGGCGGTGGAGAATTTTGTGTCTCAGCCTGTGGTTCCCGTGAAGTAGGGGCATTTGTCTCAGCCTGTGGTTCCTGTGAAGTAGGGGCATTTGCTTGTCCCGTTGGCAAGTATCTTAAATCCTCTGTTATGATTCGGCGGGGTTGTGTTTGGGAGATCGCTAGATAGTATACTCCAAAATAAGGTTTCCGCGCGGAGGTCTGGAAATGAGTTTGTCAAAATTGTCAATATCTTCGGAAATTAACGAAAGCAGCAGCAAAAAGGGCGATCGTGATATATTATGTGTGATTTTTATATACGAGCGAAGACTACGTGGTTCAAGTTCCCTTTAAACTGGAACTGGGTTTTTTATACGTCTCCCGCTTAGTATTTCAGGCAAGAAAGTGTTTAGTTGTTAGTATATGTTACAACTACAGTCTACTGTGATTGTTTTGTTTAAACGAAATTTTTACAACAATGACAATGTGCATAATACAGTCTATATAAATGTAGATATGTATAAACAGCTATTGAAATAGGGTGTAGAAATTGGTGTAGAAAGAAAAACTCAACACTAAATATTCATGATATTCGCTTTTATTCAATATGAAAAGATCGTAAATATCAAAAGATATATTTTATATATATATATATATATATATATATATATATATATATATATATATAAATATATTACATTTATAAGTTATACCATTATATAAAATTAAGTTAAACATTACATAACTTATGGGGCATCCACCCTCTGGTATGAATTATGAACAATATCATGATTAAAAAATACAGCCCCTAGCAGATTGTCAATAGCTTTAACAAGTTAGCCTTAGGTTAACAGGTTCACCCTAAAATATACCTCTAATATATGGAAAGCAAACACTGCCATTTATATTTGTGAAGATGTTCTATCAACATTTCATCAGGATTGATCTTTCTCGAATATGACATGGCTGATTCTTTATATCATGTGGAAACATGGTTAGTTCTTGTTGCTCCCAAACATTGTTGTAGGTGTTGACGCATCTCACTTTGTTTAAAGGTGATTGCTCCAGGATATATCCCTTTAGCAAGAGCTAGTGCATTTGCTATTGCAAACAAACCACAGTCAACAAAACCTGCTTGCTTTTGACAGCACCTTAGTTTCACTTGCAGAAGACCACCTTTTGCCAGACTCTTGTACATATATACCAACTGCTGACTTAAAGGGCGTGTCATTCCAGGATAAAGGGAATCGTAGACAATCACTGACTGGCCACTTGATTGTGATACAAGCCAATGTCCAGGAAGGTTATGGATCTGAATTGCATTCAACATTGATGTTATTGGATCCTCCCTGGTGAGTTTGCTTGATACTATCAAGGTATCTATTAAGCCATCTACTTTGGTGAATTGGTTTTTCAATAGAATCTGGACTGCATTGATGTGATTATCATTTAGAAGGTTGCCTGAAGTCAGTTCATGTTTATCAGCCTGATACAAATTCAAACTAGGCAAACATACCCAGAGCTTTCTTTCTAGATGAAAACAGGACTTCTTACTGGGTGAGCTGAGATCAACTACATCTGGCTTTGTAGAGCATCTCTTCTTTGGTCTATCTGAGGCAAGTGGCACATGCACTTTGAAATTTTTCTTCATTACTTCAGCATGCTTCCCAACTCGGCCTGTGTAGGGGTGTTTTGGGCGACCATATTTTCTGGTTGTTAATGTTTTTATCTTTCCCTTTTTCTTTTGACCATTTTTTGTGATGTGTTTTCTCCCTCTTGTGGTTACTGGATTTTTCTTAACTTGGGTTTTTTTTATGATAATTCCTGCTTCCTGGGGTGCTGTACTTCGTGCCTTCTCTAAAATCCCCTCCAACTCACTGGCAAGACTGGAAAGTTGTTGTTTGTCATCCATTAGAAATGTAAGGTTTGAAAGTTCCTTCATCAAATTGCGGCACTTGAGACGAAGAGCATTTTTGCCACTTGTTCTTTTAGGTGGAAGTGATTTATAATCTTTATTGACCAGTTCAGGGGGTGAAGGTGGTATGAAATCATCATTGTCTCTTTTTTCTGTTGGAGGTTGATCATTGGTTACATTTCCTTGCTGTTTAACAATGTGTTTATTTTCAGGATAACTGTTATCTGGTGGAACAATTTTCTGATCTAATGAAAACAGTGGATTTCCTATGTATTTGGCACTCAGGTTTTCCCATCTCCATTCTGGAAAAGCTTTCATGCAAGCACAAAAGTGTTTGCAAAGAAGCTTGTTGTGTCTCCAGTCCAAGCATGTGCAGTTTGGGAGAGTTTCTTCATCACCAAAGAATAATCTGTATATGTTCCCTCCTGTTGAACTCTTTACATCAAAGACCCCAGGAGACACCATTTGGACCATGTCATTTGTGATGTCACTTTCCCAGCGCTTTATTATATGAGATACCATTTTTGCTGGTCTATTGTGCAAAAATTTGGGAAGATCCTTATGGTATGCACGATAACCATCATGGCATTTCACATTTAACTCAACATACCTATATGGTAAAAAATACAACAATTCTTTACATACTTCACATTTGTGAAATTTAAACAATATTCCTGAGAAATTCCATTAGTGCTGCAATTTTACAAGTAGGCAACTCTTACTTTCTGAACGTTTTTGGAAGAAACTGATCCACAAGGACTTTTAGCATGTCTGTTAAAGAGCATCCTTTGTTCCCAAGCAGATATTCATATTTAAATGCCTTATTTTGTCTCTCAATCCCATTGTTTGTGTTGACTGCACAAATAAAATCTTCAGCCCGGTATGCTTGGCACCATCTCTGAAAATCAAAATTTATGGTTTTTAGTATTTCTCATGTTTGCTGGTTTGACAAGCACTATTAAATAGTTCAGTCATTAGTCATTGATTGACTGGACTTTCTAAGCTTTCCTATAATATGTTGGCTTTGTACCTTTATGTTTGGCAGCCACTTGTTACCAAACCAATTCCTTAGTTTCGGATTACTTTTCCAAAGTCTGCTCTCAGTAAGGCATGTGGTTGATTTTCGACACTCTTCAGATGTGGCTGCATGTGCGATGCTCCGTAATAGATTTAGCAGATGTTGTTTGTCATGAGCAACACCATTGTCTAATTTAGATGTCCATTCTTGCCATGACTTCTCCCGATGAAAATCACAAAGAAGTACTTCTGCATCTGAATAATATAAATGACATTGAGGTGCATCAGGTATATCTACAAGCAGATGTAAGGTATCTGTTCAATTCCGAAATTGGTTTTGAACAGCTGTTTATCTGTTTTTCCTTACCTTCAAAGACTGTTTCGAGAGCTTGAATTTCTTCCTCAGCAAAATCTACCATAAAACGCGAAGGGGTCCATGTGTTAATATTCCACTCCTTGAAAACCATTAATGCTTCCTTTATACATTGTGTGTTCTCGTACTGTATGACAAATGAGCCGACAACTTCATAACAAACATTCGTTCTTACACACAGGAAGTACAATGGAAGGTCATATTTTGTTGTTCTGTAGGTTGCATCCAGCAGACACATTTGGTTACCATACTTTGCGAGGAGATGTCGTTGATCACTGGTCTGATGACAGAACAGTAATGTTTGGGTGGAGTATTCGTCGGAGGTGACGCAGTCATCTTCATCCTGAACACAATCATCTGGTACTGGCTTAGCACAATGGGGACGATAGAGAAATGAGTCTTCTGGATGCTCATTCTTCCATTTTTCGACCAGTCTCTTCAAATTTTCTTGGTCAATTGTGGAGAAATTGTCTGGTTTTCCTTTGTACAAATGATTATAAATGTCCTTGTTAGTAGGATAATATCGCCTACTAGTTTTGTCTGGCGGTTTACATCCCTTGAAGAGGTCACATTGCACGAAAAGCTCGAGGTACCTGCGTGCCTCACTTACTGAGTGGACACCTTCTTGGGCTAGCTCTGAAAGTTTTTCCACTATAACCGGGTCCAGTGGCTCTCTTATTCCAGCAGCCTGTAATATAAAAAATAACCATTACATTAATAATTTTAACAATCGCGCGTGTTTTATAAGTAAATTACAGTACTTTTAAATTCTAATATGTGCCAATCCTGTCGCAATGTTATGTAGGTTTATATATTTTCGGTTTTTGTGGCAATAAAATTTTACCTTTCCCATTATGTGATATTTATGTTCAGATACAGGTGGTAACTTCACGATATAATTCATTTGAACGTCGGCAGCTGCGATTGTGCTTGCCGTCAACCCTTCGTGCAATATCTTTGCTGCTCTTCGTCTGAAGAATAAGCTGTCTTTTTCAATCTAAAGCGTACATTTAAAGAGTGCATTATGGCATCCAGTGGTTATAAGTGATTATAATTATTTTATCTTTTACGGCCTAAGTAATAGTATAAATTCGGACCTTCATATTTGGAAATTTTGCAATTTGAGTGATGAATATTGCAGCTGGGCATTGCTTCTTTTTTGACGTTTGAGCAAAGGTTTTTTTTAGAACTATAACAGTGGTCAGCATTCTGTAAGTGTGTAAAAATAAATTTTCTCAAAGGTGGTAACACAGTTTACCTACACAACGTTAATTATAAATTAGCTTATATATCCATTCAGTTTTGAAATGTTACCTGGCACTCCTGAGCTTTCTCCTTATTTTTTTGTTTAGCCTTTTCATTCTTATCTTTTCCTTGATGGCACCACATCACTTTCTCCCCAACGTGTACAAACGGTATTCCGTCGTATAAAATGCTTGGTCCTTGCTGATTCCCATCCTTTCTCTCCCAGTAGACCTTACGTTTATCTTTTCTTAGTTCTAAACATATCAACTACACGTTCCTGCCCGGGAAATATTTTTTACCACACCTTTACTTCATTTTCATACGTATGTTTACCCCCTCGTAATAACGTTTTGGCTACAAGTTTACCCCCAGGGTCACACAGAGAATTTTAGGGGTCCCAATTCCATAGCAAAAACGCCAAAAAAATAGCAGTTAAAAAAATACCAAAAAAGCTTTTATTTGTGGGTATTTCGTACCAAACGCTTAAATGGTGCTCTCGGCGTTTTATTTTTGGTGTATATTTTCACTCTGAAGGGGCATCACCCCTTGTATTTTTACCTGACCTGCCAAAAACACCAAACTTATCATGATAACTTTTGGAAAGGGACTTTAAGAGAGCTATATACTCCTGTGGTATTCTGCCCCCCCCTTAAGCAGCCTTTGTATACACCTCCACCTCCTTCCTTTATCCGGCCTGTTTCACGATAGAACAGCTTTTTAAAATGCGTATAATCTACGTACTTTTAAAGCTTAGCTTACCGTTTGATCCAAAGCTTTTGTCGCTGTAATAGACGATGAATTTGCTGCTCGTCTCCACCTCGTATTTTTTAATGAGCGCCTTTACATCGGACTCGCTATGTACAACAGCCGTGTTTTGAACGCTAGTGTCCTCCGAATATTCAAAGGACGACATGCTTTTCGCGCAAATATATTTACATATCAAGAAACGATATTTGCTATGAATATTTATACTCGTGGTAAGTTCCCGCAAAATTTAAAAATCGCGCGACAAAAAAAAGGATCATCCAGAAGTATATTGTCCTTCGTAAGTTGTTCGCCGTCATTTCACGAAGATTTTGACAAACTCATTTCCAGACCTCCGCGCGGAAACCTTATTTTAAAGTATACTATCTAGCGATCTCCGTTGTGTTTGTTGTACCGGTATAAATCGTTGTAAGAACTTCCGATTCCGAATGGTTACTCGACCTGACCCGTCTACACGTATCACATACTGGTCAAACTGACAGACTTCTATCACCAACCCTGTTTTATCCCATTTCTTGGGGTGGGGGCCGATCTGATTTTGTATACGGATATGATCGCCAACTTTAAGTGGTGGTAGTCTTCGTGTGTTTTCTGACAGCCTTTCGCCTGTACGCATATGACGGTTATGTAATGCCTGTTCTCGGTTTTCGAGGGTCTCTTTCCAGGTGGGGTGGGGTTTATATCGACCGGGAAGGATGGGTATGAAGTCTTTAATTGGTCGACCAAAGACGCACTCTGCGGGGGATGATAGCTTGGTTATCGGGTCTGGTGTATTGCAATATTGGAGGATGGCAATTTGTAAGGCATCCGTGTCAAGGGTGCTGTTTGGGCCCGTATTCTTGGTTATCAGGCGTTTGACCGTTTTGACTCCGACTTTTGCACGGCAGTTAGAATGCGGGTATGCAACAGAAGATAAGCGATGATGGACTCCCCAAGTTGTGAGGAACGCTTGTGTTGAAGTGGCGATAAATTCTGGGCCACCGTCGGATGCCAGCTCGTCTGGGATTCCGAATGTAACAAATACGCGTCGTAAGCAGTGAATCAACCCTATTGCACCATCTTTACATCGTTCTATTATGGGCCAGTTTGAGTAGCGGTCTATGATGACGAGGTAGTTTATTCCCTTGTAATGAAAGTAGTCGGCGCAAAGCAGTTGAAATGGGTAGTTTGGTAGGGTTGACGGTGTGGGTGGTGGGTTTGGGTGGGATGGTGTTGCTCGAATGGCTGGTGTTATGCCTGGCCAGAATACGGTTGCCTCGGCGTGTGCATTCATGGACGTGGTCCCTTGGTGAGCTGAGTGGAGTATGGACAAGACGTTGTTTCTGAGAAGCGGTGGTATAACAATACAATCTTTGTATAAGATGACGCCGTCCTTGATATAGAGGTTTTCTCGGAATTGGAAGAATTCCTGGATCTCAGGGGTTAATTGGTGGCGGAACTCGGGAAAACCTTCTGTGATGGTTGAAAGTAGCTTTTCCATGGTCTTGTCGCTCGCTGTCGCTGTTTTAATACGTTCCCATGTTATTGCCATGGAGTGGGAGGATTTAATGGCGCATGATAAGAGTTGCTCTTCAATGATGGCGGTGGTGGAGTTCCCATCGGGTTTGAGGATGCGAATGCTGTCAAGGGCTATGTTACTAAGTGTTGAAGTTGTGGGAATGTTGATGGCAGCTACGTCGTCGGGTAATGGCATGGGATTCGGGTTTATAGCGCCGGATGGGTGGCGTGAAAGTGCGTCGGCTGCTTTGTGTTTAATGCCGGGGATATGGATCATGGTGAAACGGTATCGAAGCGTTTTTTCCTTGAGATTACGAAGGCGGACATTGGAGATGTCTTTGAGGCATCGGTCACCAAAGACTTTTAGAAGTGGTTTGTGGTCCACTGCTATGATAAGGTTCGCGCATCCAAGGACGAAGAACCTGGCTTTATCAAGGGCATCGACCACTGCGAGGGCTTCACCCTCGGTTGGTGCGTAGCGTGCTTCAGCTGTGTGGGTAAAGCGACTGCCAACCAAAGTGACCTTCCAGCCGGACTTGCAACAGAATGGCTTCTCTTGGGAGCAGGCACAATGTTTTTAGAACAGCCAAAAGCCTATACCATCCTTAGACCAATCAGTGGCGAGGCACGTGGGCTTTGATTTATCAAAGATTCGCACACCGTGTTCGATTTCATTTACGATTGCTATTTTGGATTCGTCAAAGAGTTGGTTTAGCTCGTCTGTCCAGGTGAACTGTGATCCGGGCTTCAGAGCCTCGCGAAAAGGTAACATTCGGTCCGCGGCAGCAAAGGCATATGAAACTTGATTAACCAGGCCGAACCAAGAACGCATGTCAGTGACGTCATTCGGGCGTGGGAATTTGAGGATGGCATCGAGGTATTTCTGGCAGGGTCGAACGTGGTTAGAGGTGATCTCGAATCCCGCAAACTCAACCGTATCCTGGACAAACTTTTCGGGGTTCAGGGTTATGCCATTGTTGCCGCAAGTGTCGAGCCAGTCAACTGCCTGAAAGAAGCTGCCTTCGATGTTGTCGGCCCACAAAAGTGCGTCATCAATGCACTTGGTTTTGTCGGGGATATCTGCAACTATCTCATCAAAACATCGTGTGAAGCTGTCACCAGAGGCGATATATCCTTGGGGTGCCGTTTTGTACCGATATCTTCCCCATGGTGTGATAAATGTAGTAAGGTGGCGGTCTTCCGGGTGTATGCCAACACTATGATAGCCATTCCAACAGTCGAAGATGGTTTTTTTTTGTTGTTAGGTACAGATCGAGCCTGATGGAAAGGACTTTGAGTGTGATGCGTCTCGCGGGTTGCGTGAAGGTTGAGGGCCTGAAAATCAACTGTTCGGCGAGGCTGACCATTCTTTTTAGCGCAGACTACCATCCGATGACACCAGGTGACGGGTTCACCGATGGGAACCGGTTCCACCGATGGGAACCGGTTCCAGGACGCCCAGTGCAACATCACGATCAAGGCCTGCTTTTACATCCGTTTGCCAGTGTGTTGGTACGGGTATGGGGTTATGGTGCGCGACGGGGGTGGCATTTGAGTTTACCATGAGTCGCATTGGTGGGCCGTGCATGAGTGGAGTGGTTGGTGCTCACATACATTGAAGGTACTTGATGAGTAGTAGTCAAGTAGCCACTGCCGGATGCGTTCTCGGTTAGCCTCATTAGCAGGGAAGGGTGGTTGGATGGGTCGAGGTGGTGGTTTTTTGCACAATGGCCAATCGCATGGTGCTGTAAGTGCACTTTGTGGTGTTCCCAATGTAGTGGGGTTAGTGTTCTGAGGTGGATTATCAGCGACTGGCGTGGAGGTCAGGGGTGCTATTTCGCCGATGGTGGGGAATTTCTCGGAGATCATGTGAAGGGCCAAGCATGCTTCTCTACTGAGGAAGAGTCTTTCAGAATCACTAGTAACGTAACTAATCTGGCGGGTTTCAAGTGTTGTACCAGATTTGGACTTGCCAGAGTAGCGTAGGATGGTTGCACCAAGGATATTGATCCCTTTGTTGTTGGCTGCTAACATGTGCATTGTGACTGGAATGAGGTCTTTCTCTTGGAGGCCAAAGCGTTTGATGATTTGCATGCTGGCCAGGCAGCTCTGACATCCTGTATCGGCCATAGGTATCTGGATGATCCTGGAACGAATGTCTGGTGGGGTTATGCCAAATGATTGATAGTCCTCTGGGCATAGTGTAGCAGTAAGTGTGAGGAATGGCTGTGGTTTCGAGGACTGGGGTACCCAGCAGTCATTTAATTGGTTGTAGAGGTGGTAGTCTATGGATATGGGCCAAGAGTTGGAGCAGAGGGAATCAAAGATAGCACTGTCTTTATCATGGTTGCTGTTTCTCATGGAGGAAGGTTTTTTGTTTCCCAATTTTTGCTGACAAGTAGTGTCGATATGATTCAATCGATCACAGTGCCCACATATTTTGCCATAAGCGGGACAAGATTTCTTCCGAATGAATGGTGGTGCCCGTTTGCCGTGGCCAGTTTGACCACAGTAATGGCAGACCTCCTTGGTGACGGGGTGTTAGGGTTTAAGTCTGTCTTGTTGTTCCCTACGATATTGGCTTCGTGTGGAGTTTACTGCTTGGGCTACCTGTAGGCGACCAGCAGATCGTTTTCCAGCTTCCTTTGCCTCGACAAATTGGATTACCTCTTCCA